TCTATCCACTTACAAAATCACCAGTTGCCCCTGTAGAACCGATCGATTCCATCCACATCATCACATACATGCCGCAATCATATCTGTTACAAAATTTGAAAACCACACATGTCAATTATGATGAATACTGCATAAATTAAGCTTTCTATTTGTGATAACATCTCATACCCATTCAATTGCTTATTCTTCTTATGCTCCACAAATTTGAAGTTTTTCAAGGGATACTTTCCTAGAGATCCACATGACTCAACCCAAATGCGTTTCTTATTATAAGAATCTAATATTTTAATCTGCATTAAAATAGAAGAAGTTATGCACCAAAAAAATTATGCATTATAATTTACATAATGTCCTTTCATACATACATACATACCAATCTCTTAGCATCCTTCACTCTCTGTTTAGCTGCTTCAGTTGTAAACATACTATCATATATTGTTACAACATGATCTACCATATCCAACACCAACAGATACCAGTGTGAATTATGGTAGTTTATTGTGATCATTATCTGCAACAAATTTCACACCCAATTTGACAAAATTCAACATTCTATATCCGAAAACATCATTTGCAATTGGTATGGTGTCTTACCTTCTCACAGTCCGTGAATTTCACATAGTTATCCAATATGACACCCCAGAAGGTAGAAATATTCTCAACACTTTCTTTATTGTTGGCTTCCAACGCCTGTTGCTGTAATTACGCAACAAACATTATTAATTTACCGTCTATAACACTACTTTTCAATATTTATTAATTTAACTCACCACTAAGAGGTATGGAAGGTAGCCAATCCTCCGGTGTGACTTTTGAGAATCGTAGCATATGGTCCAGGCGAGCAAATCGATAACCTAACAAAATTAATTACACAATCAGAACATATTCAATAAGTTTTATTTATTTTCTACTTTCTACTTACCACACCGCCAACCCATTCTGTAGGCTTCAACGTTGCAACGTCGTATACAGTAGCGAATTGATTTCCCATTGATTACAGAATATCTGTATGAATCATTAGGATTAATATCTTGTCATGAAATATTTAAATATCACTCACAAAACAATATATTTCACTTACCCCGATTCTAACTCGCTATTCCATAAATAATCACAAATTGCAGCTTCGATGTCATCAATTCCAGTTGGAATGTCCGCTTTTTCAACCTACAATTTTGCATACAAATTTTTGTCACAACAACATAATAAAAATCAAATTAAGTATTCTTTTATTAAACTTACCTTCTGCTTCTTCTTCTGGGGTGCAGGACATTCCGAATCCAAAACTGCTGCTATGACACTCTCCGGTGTATAAAGCACATTGGGCCTCTCCTTCCTCCTCATTTCTTCCATCTTCTTCTTCCTCCTCCCTCTTTTCTTCTTCATATTTTTTCAGTTCATCGTACTTTTTTTCTACATAGCTCTTCATATCTTTTATTTCACCCTTCAATTGAGCTCCTTCATCCGAGTATTTATCAACCACCCCCTTCACCCCCGTAAGTTCACTCCTCAAATCAACAACCTCCTTCACCACTCCCTCAAATTTCTCTCCCGTCACCATCTTAATATCACCCCTTAACACCGAAACTTCTTTCACCACTTCACCCCTCACACCTCTACTTCTTTCACCACTCCATCTATTTTTCCTTCCACTACCCCCTTATGCCTCTCGAGTTTCTCTACGACTTGATCAAGTTTCTCTTCGACTCTTGATTGTCTTTGCATGATTTCAAATTGGATTTTTTTGATATCAGCCAATTCAGACATCAAAATGTCGAAGTTACTCTGTTTTGCTTCACCGTCGTCCCACTCACCTTCATCCCCCAATACTTCTTCCCTCAATACAACCATCCCTCCTTTCTTCTCCTCTGCCTCCACTGCCTCCTCTACATCCTTGCCAATAACCTTCAAAAAATTAAATTACAATATTAAGACATTGATTATATTCTTAATATTATTTAATTACATTTATTACCATTTCTTGCTTCTTCCCTCTATCCAACTTCAACTTCACCATCACTCTAACCACCTCTTCCTTCCCCCATGCACGGATGCGTGCCACTCCGGTTCTTTCATAAGCCGGCACTGCCTCACAGCCCGACCAAAAATCGAACAGTGCAACCTGCATTTATAATAAAATTAGAATTTTATATAAAACACAAAAAGTGATTCAACTCATTTACCTCTAAGATTGCTATGCACCCTTTGAGGTATCTCTGGCTGCCCTTTTTAAAGGTGATAATTGATTCAATCAATCTCGAATGGATATATTCAGCCCAATTGAATTCACCCTTCAAGCCTTCATCGCAAATGAGCTTCATATTCCTTGTTCGTTGACGTATCACCCGTTGGACAAAGAAATATACCGACAAGGTACAATAGAACTCGGGCCTTCAGCTCATCCCCCAAGTAAGATCCACTTTTGATATCCTCTTCAACTTCAGTATATGTCACCTTATGATTCAAACCATATTTGGAGGCAAGTGCTTTCCAGTTCTTACTCCTACAGACTTCTATAACACTTTTGCCTTTGTTTTGTACCCCCAATACGGCTGCAGCAGTCGATACCCCCAGAGGGAATGAATAATCACCATACTTAGCCATACATTGACTGACGTCAAATTGTGCCATCAAGGATCGACACAATTCCCTCCGAATAGGTCGATCCCTTACTCCGATCAACGATCCAAAACCTATTTCTCCCCACATTCAACTGACCCTTCTCCTTAAGGTGTTTAATTAATAAATTCACCCTTTTAATGCTGCATCTTGTCGAAACTTCCTACATTTTTTAACAATATATAATGTTATAGTTCTTATATATTTTGTATCAACGTATTTACAAGTTTAATGAATACCTTATTTTCATGTGCTTTCCTCCGTTCTTTGTATTCTTTACTATCATTCCTTGACTGTGATGTAAGGTTCCTTTTCAGCATCACTCATTGAATTCCATTTGGACCTCACATCTTTTTTCACCTAATATTAAACATAAACGTTTCTTAATCAATACATTAACACTAAATACTAATACTACTCAATGTCAATTTCATTTTACATACCGAACCGCTCTGTGTGCCATCTCCCTTCATCCTTTTGCATTCGGCCATACTGTTAACATTTAAAATTTGTAATCAATTTAAAGTTTATCGATACTTTAATCCAATTACCATTTCAACAATAATAACAAAAAGACATTGATACTTACTAGAAGTACATATATCCACCCTTTGGTTGCTTTCGAGTCTCGGCCTCAATTTCAAAGTCATCTGCTCCACCAACAATTTTCCAACCCATTGACTCCATTTTTCCTTCATATATCAGTTTACGCAAATCAAATTATTTTGTTACATACACTTTCAATATACAAATATAGATAACTACTCTTGTGGTAAAACGGTTTTCTTCAAAAGAATTTGAATGGCCACACCAAAATGTGTCGGCACATTTATACAACCTATAATATCATTTTCTACCTATAATATTTAATAAAAGTATCGACATTTATCGTTTTCCTTGAATATCTATTTCTACCTGCAATCGGTCCCAAATGCTTCCTTACTCCAAAACCCCAAACAACACATAAAAAACCCTATCGCGATTACTGTAATAATAAAAATTAGGGTTTCGACAACATACTTTTCGATTCGACTGCAGCAACAAACAAACAAACTTCGCTTTAGAAACGCCTTCTGAAATGCAGCAACAATTACTCTTCGATTTCAAAAACTCGTCCGTTCTATCTATTTTCAGAGGATATTTAGCTTATATTTTCATCGGATATGTTATTTATATTTAATCGATACAAATACAAAAGTGTCGATACTTTTATGTCAGGTGTCGATACTTTCGAAAGGATAATTACCTATTCTTTGAAAGTGTCGATAATTTATTACACGTACTTACGAAAGTATCGACACTTTCAATATATCCGGTATCATTTTACCGTTTTTATCATTTTGATACCGGTTTTATCATATTTTTACCTGTTATATCGTTGTGGATCGATATTTTTTTTTAAAGTATCGACACATTATAGGCGCTATAACTGCTTCTCTTTTAAATTCACAAAGTGTCGATCCTTATATAACGTATCGACACTTTTAATTTTACCGGTTTTATCATTTTGTTACCGGTTTTATCATAATTTTACCTGGTATATCGTTTTGGATCGATATATTTCTTAAAAGTATCGACACTTTTTAGGATTTAAAACTGCTTTTAAAGTTATGTAATTTATGTTTCAATTTATTTAATAGTGTTTTATGTTTTCCACCTACAATATTAATTTAATAATTTAATTTACACAAAATTTTATTTGATTGTTTTGATATTTTATAAAATATTATTTAGAATTTAAATTTAACAATATTAACCAAATATAATAATAAATATGTTTTCAACAGTGAAATAAGTATGGACACTTTTATAAAAATGATATATACTTTTTTGAAAGTTATGTAATTTATGTTTCAATTTTTTTAATAGTGTTTCATGTTTTCCACCTACAATATTAATTTAATAATTTCATTTACACAAAAAATTATTTGATTGTTTTGATATTTTATAAAATATTATTTAGATTTTAAATTTAACAATATTAACTAAAGATAATAATAAATATATTTTCACAGTGAAATAAGTATGGACACTTTTATAAAAAGGATAGATAATTTACAATATAACAGGTAAAAATATGACAAAACCAGATTCATTATGACAAAACCGGTAAAATTTACTTGATATGTTAAAAGTATGGACACTTTTATAAAAAGGATAGATACTTACCGATAACCAAAAGTTTACCGGTTACCAAATTTTTTAATAGTTTTTCATATTTTCTACCTAAAACATTATTAGTTGTCAACATAATAGGTACCGCTAAACCGAATTTATTAAATACATTTTAATGTATCCGGTAATGCTGTATATTAGCCGTATATTAACCCGCCTTTCCTGAGACATTCCCCCGAAACATTCAGTAAGGAGAATAATGAGATTACAGCCACACACGGACTTCGAGAAACAGCGACAGAAATGGCAAACCCATCTTCCAAAGCTACAGTTCTCTTTTCTCAGGAGCCGCAAACGATATCTTCTACTGCCGCGGCGGCGACTACCTCCACAAATTCCGATGATAGGACTAACTCGCTCGAGGCTCAAGTTATACCTTTCTTTAAACGCGTGGGATCTGACGATCCCAACATAGAAAACTACACTTCCAAAGACTTTTACTCCAATCTCTTATGTAATACTCTCAAGACCCACACCGTCCGACGTGGCCACGTCTCCTGCTTCGTCACCGTCAAACCCTCTATCTCCGTAATTCATATGAACCTGTTATCCTTTTTTATCAGAATTATAATCTTAATTTATTTTGAGGTCCTTTTTTTCCCCTTTTGTTTCTGCCAGAATTATTTTGGTGGATTGCATGGAGGGGCTGTTGCAGCAATAGCGGAAAGAGTGGCGGTTGCGACGGCGAGGACGGTGGTTGGTGAGGATAAGGAGATTTTCCTTGTTGATTTAGGAATGTCTTATCTTTCTGCCGCTCCAAGAGATGTGAGAACTCTTTAGGGTTATCGATTTTTTAATCTCGTTTTTTAATCCCAGATTGTAACTTTGATTCAATTTTCTGATGTTATCTCACCGCTGATTGGAATTTGTTCAAGTTTTGATTTCCCCATTTTTTTTACAGAAGATTTTTCATCTAATTTATTATATCAACTTGCGAACCGATGGAATTTACTCTGTTCACCATTAATATTAAGTTCTAATTATCATTTTTAATAGTTTGAGTGATTAGAAATTAGTATTTATTTAAAAATTTCTTAGCCCATTGATAATGCATTTATACTTTAGACGTAATTGTTCGAATTTAAAATATCCAGAAAAAAATATTTATTTTCACCGCTGAGACAAGCGTTGTCCTTCAAGTATTTCTTTAATTGAACATTGTACTAATCATCAGGGAGCTCTGGGTTGCTTTTGATAAATTGCATTATCTCATTTGAAAATTATGCCTCACAGAATAACAACACTTGTTTTCAACATGCAGGCAGAGCTGATAGTTGATGGATCTGTTGTGAGAAGTGGAAGGAATATAACTGTAGTTTCGATCGAATTCAAGATGAAGAAAACTGGGAAATTGACCTATACTTCTCGTGCTACCTTCCATAACTCACCCGTTTCCAAGTTATGAAGTTTCCCCAAGTGAAAATGGTATTGTCGAATGAATATCCATATTATTATGCCCTTAGTATCCTCCAATTAAATGTAAGTGCTTATTTAGTTACAATGAAAGCAGAAAGAATTTAAATTTTATTTTTATTAGAAAAAAATGTCAATGTTCATTGGGTTCACAAGTAGGAAATTTATAAAATGTAAGAAATAATTTAGATTTTTATGAATAATAAATGCTAATAAGCTACAATGTATAGCAGCCAATGCACACATATATACATGAGAAAAGAACCCAAAAACCTATTTGGCATATATCAGTTCTTTTTTCATCTCATCGGCATATCCATTTATAGGGTATGTGGATATATATTTAGGTGCTTGGCTTTATATTCATAGGGTGGTGGGGCGTGGCAACTAATCATCCAAAACCAAAATTACAATTTGCCTATAAATGCCGTCTCATTTGATCTTTTATGTCCTTGCTTGTTCCGGAATAAGGCGTTGACGGAGTTCAGCAGATGCGCCGGCCAGTTCTGCAGTGAAGACGGGCATATTTTAAGCAAAAAATAAAATGCGAAAAAGATTCACCAAGATGGCTTACCTTGATCGGTGAAATCGAATAAAGGAGGTAGAGCTAGGCCGTTGGGTAAGCATGCAGTGGGGTCTCTTAAATCATCAAAGAAAGGGTGTGCACAAGCCTCCAACTGAAAGCCAGAAAATAATATACAACTTGGTCATAAGGGCTGGGGATAATTACACGACTGAAGTTCACTATCGAGTTCATATCAATAAGCATAAATGCATATGCAGCTGAAAACAACAATGATACAATATTAAATACTTACAGCAGTGCAGCGTAGGTTTGGCGAATACTGAAGCAACCTTGATACAAGATCAACTGCATCAGGGGATATTCTCCTGTTAAAAATCTGAAATTTGTAGCTCCGGTAAGATTTCTGCTTTTATTGTACAACATATATGTGAGTAAAAAGTGATTAGAAGATGATCTAATAAACAAACCTTATGCCATGGATGTGCTTTGATCTGAGGGAATCTGAACTCGGTATATTTTGGATTCATACATTTAATCTCTTCTCTAGTTGGTGTTCCCAGTTTCTGATATTATTAAGCAAAAGGAAGTGAACAAGATGAAAAAAAAAACACAGAAAGAAAAGTAAAACTAGAGTAACAAATAAGCCATTGATGTGCACCTTAATAATTTCCACTAGTTGATCGACACCACTTTCACCAGGAAACATTGGCTGCAAATGGTGTGGTACATAGTATTATTGAATAGAAAATAGTTTTTCAGAAGCCATGGATGCCTTGGATATGAACTCAAAAGGGGGCAGATGGTAGATAGAAGAAAGTATAGTTTTGCTCAGTGTGCTTCAATGAAGAATTTCAGGATGTCAAGGCTCTATATATATATATATACAACTCACCTGTCCAAGCAGAAGCTCACCCATGACACAGCCAACAGACCACATATCAATAGCTGTTGTATATTCCGTTGCCCCAAATATGTTCAGGAGCCCTATAATATCGTGAGCATATATATGATATGTTGGGTTCACCGGGCACCTGAAGATTGCAGAGTAAGTATCAGAAGTTTCATAATAGACCAGAAAAAGGGATTTTCAAACTTCCCAAAAGATTCAACATACCAACATCTTTGCACTACCAAAATCACATATCTTCAGCTGGTGAGTGTAGGGATTGACCTGCAAATACATCAAAGCATTTGCTCGGATATGATTTAGCATTGAATAATACTAATAATTATGAGAAGAATAAAACCAATGACATATTAAGGCCAATATCACAGACAAGACACATTACTTCACGCGCATACACAGAGAAATCCTTGGACAAGCATTATGACTAACCATCATAATAAAGACAGATTCACACGTTTTAGTGCATTCAAGATGAATTTTTTTTTGAGGTGATAGGTAAAACTCTCAAACAATAGATTGAAGATTTCTTAATTAACCTCCAGTTTCTAACATAAATGCAGAAATGTCTTACCAGTAAATTTGTGGCTTAATATCACGGTGGCTTACTCCGATCACATGGTGTAAATAATTTAGAGCACGGAAAATCTAAAAAAAAGAGCAGTATAGCTTATCATAATGGTGCACTTAGAATATAAGCGCAAAATGGTTATATCAAAAGTTGGAAAGAGTGGTATTTCACAACCCATTACTAATCAGCTAAATTAGGCAAGGGCAAGTATCACCTGGTATGTATACAATTGCACAAAAATCATTGGCATGTGGCGATTCATTCTACAATAGTGTTTTGAAACTCGGAAAACTGTTTCGGGTATATACTCCAGAACAAGGTTCAGATAGAGCTCATTTGTGTCGGTGGATGAAAAGAAATAGTGCTTCAATTGGACTGTATTAGGATGATCAAGTAAATGCATAATCTGGAGTTCCCTATTCTTGTATCTTTTATCCTGCAGAACCTTCTTTATAGCAACAGATTCACCTCTCTCCAAGCACTTGGCCTTCACAATAAACATAAAAATGTGTGTTATTATCTCAGAGAAAAATTGTCGTTATATTCAAACAGCAAGAGAAAATGGTTATAGACATGAAAATGGTGACATGTCAATATACTCGTACCTGAAAGACAACACCAAATGAACCAGTTCCAACGACATGCTCAGCCATATACGAGATTGTCTGAAGCCCAATAGAAAAAGATACATTGTTAAGCATCAATTGTTGAATAGTACAAACTGAATAATCAAATGTACCATGCACGTAAACCAAGATTCTAACATGACAAATGGATTCAGAAACATTTTTTTTATAAACTATAAGAAACAACCACCACAGAAAAAACTAAATCCAACTCCACCAAGAAGGAAAAAGCAGAGGGAATATTTCAAGAAGAAAAGGTATCCAGCAACATTGGTTCACACATAAGCTGATAAACATAATTCAAATTCCATATGAGCGGTTAATCATGTGAAACAAAATGTCAACCAAAATCAAATCACCTGTTTTGGATGCCCACTTCGACCACTAACAACAGTAGTAATTATTTGACCTGTTTCTGTTCCATTCCCTTTAATAACATTTGCCCCAACATCCTGTGCAATACAAGTTTCAAAACAATAGTTTTAGAAGTGAACATGGAAGCTAGAAATATTTTAGACAGCTTTAAATCATTTCAAAGATTAATATAACATTATGCAGAAAATCGGTAACAGGATCTCTTTAAGAACCCTAAAGGCCTAAACCATAGCATTAGCAATAGATAGATTGGTTACTCATTGATTCAAATCAACTTCCCAACCAAGACTCAATTCAAGCCATAAAAATACATAGAAAATAGTGATTACTTCAAATTATATCACGAGCTTCAGAATTTTTATGTATGAACAGATCAGCAACTTCTCAGAACGCATTTCAGCATACTTGGTTAGTAATTTCAAAACAAGATAGATATAAAGACGAGATTTAAACGTATACTTTTGGAAGGTTATAAGACCACAGAATCACCTTATCATCGTGGCCACTAGTCTTCGCATCTCTAATTCTCATTTCATGCATTTCATTAGGCAGTCGATCAAGACCGGATTTCTCCATTACATTAACAGAAGCTACATTGGACGAGCTTGCTACGGACTCTGATGAAGTAGAATCCATATGCAGGTTAGACCAGAGCCGCTCCTCTCAATGAATTTAATACCCCAAGATATTAAATTCTGATTCTTGATCAACTTTTTCCCTCCTGCTGCCGCAGTCCCCACACTGATGACTGATGAGACAAGTACAATGTTATCAAAATAAACAATACATTAAAAAACAAAAGCCCAAGGAAACAAGCATCCTCATATAAATAGAGTACCTCATATATGATATATTGGTATCTATAGTATTGAAAGAAGAAGAAAATAACTCATATTGCACATCAAAGGAACGTGAATAAGAACAATGTTTTCACTGAAGTAGCTTAAAATAACCTTTAAAATCCGATACGTTTATTTGTTCTTTAATTCCATCTTCTCAGCAAACAAACAGAGATCAACGCCGATCGAATCCACGGAAAAGGCGAAAAAGAAGAACTTACGTGATCAGAATAAATAGAAGATCGATATCTTCAGACGACGCATCACATTCCTGATTTTAGATTTCACCAAAACCACACCCTATTTTCCTGGAATAAAATCAAAGAATTTGGCCTTCATCGCCAAATTGATATAAACGTAGAAGAGAAGAGAGAAAGCGGGCTTTCTCTCTTCTACTTCCACCTTCGTTGTTATTACCCGAAAATGAATAAAACAATCCTAACAAACTTTTAATATATTTATTTTGTTAAAAGAATCCAGATTTTATATATATGATTCCTGATTTGCCAATAAAAGCTGCCTCGACTTTTGAACTTCAGTCAAAGGACAAATTTGAACCGTGGATTCTTTATTGTTAGAGATCCAACGACCAGGGTTTGAGAAATTTTTGGGTAATTAACAAAGACTTGTTTTTTAATGGTTTGATAAAACTAAAAGGTGTGTTTACGGCGGATACTGGCTTCTTTCTTTAGACACACTTATCCATCGCCGATTATTCAACAACATAAATACTGACAAATTTGCAAATAAAAGAATAAATACCAACTCACCACACGGCCATTAACATATTCTGCAAATTCCCCATTTCAAACAGCAATTTTTTTTAAATAATAATAAACACTTAATATATTCAAAGAAAAAATCGAAAGAATGAAGGGAGCAGATGAAGAAATTGGCATTGGGGCACCGTTATGGTTACCATTTGGAAGATCATGGGGTCAGGCCTTAGCCCGAAGTGTTCGGATCGGAGCAGCATTGGATTCTGCATACAGAAAGGGGTCCATAGATCGGAGGGACTAAGATATCGCACGTGTAAAATCAAATATTTAGACATGTTTGTCTTAAAGAACTTTAAACTCCAAATTTCAAATTAAAAGAATCTGCAAACAATCTTGTTTTTTTTTCCTGAAAGTTTTCACTCATATATAACTAAATACATATGTTTGTCTTAAAGAACTTTAAACTCCAAATTTCAAATAAAAAATAAAAATATTTTTTAAAAATGATAATAATAATAATAATAACATCAACCAATCGAATTATGATATTTATATTGTACGAACAATTTGGTCCGTGATAGGTGTAATGAATGGGGGCAAACGATCCTGCTTGAGATCTCGTCTAGTGTGATGGTAGTGGAAGAGTATCGACTTCAAAGGTCCCACAGTGATATCATCACTCATCAACCGATGGATCAACTGTCCAGGGATGATACGGTTCACGAGCTCATGGATCCCCCTTGCATGTGGTTTCCACTGCAAAACACACAGCACAATTAGTTATTTTAGTGATAAAACAAAACCAACCACCTCATTTAATTCAGTCAAACAATGTATTCTTCCAACGACATACTTTCGTACCCGAAAACGACTCTTAATTTAATCAAATTTTATACAAATATTTCGATTTTCGTTTTCATTCACTTAAATTAACATTAGCGTACAAAGGCCGAAACATCCTTCTTTGTCGTTACTCTCTTTTAAGACTAATTATGATTTTGGACACTCTATTATGCTAAAATCTGAAATCTAAATTCATTTTATTTTTATATTAAATTAGAATAAATAGATTAAATACTAAATTTTAAGATAGTAGAGGGATTAAAACCATTATTTGACCTTATTTCAATATTTATTTTAGGGTAAATCACAAATTTAATATCAAACTATCACTTTTATTTTGTTTTGGTCACCGAACTATTTTGTTTTGTAAAATCATACCTAACATTTAGTTTTTGTTTAATTTTGGCCATATGTTGTTAAAAATTAACGATTTTGTTGAAGTGTTACCGCAAGGTAATTTAACGTTATCATTGAATTGTTTTTAAAAAATTGTCATGTCAGTTGTTTTGTTAAATTTTTAACGACGGGTGACCAAAATATAATAAAAACATAGTGTTATGTATGATTTTATAAAAAATAGTTAAGCAATTAAAACAAAACAGAAGTGATAATTTGGATACTAAACTTGTAGTTTACCCTTATTTTTATTTTATTACTAAAAAAACATGGCTTCTTCATCACCTATATAAATAAGCTCATTCCATGGAGCTCCCATACCTCTCACCTCTCACCTCTCTCTCTTACTCTTTACTTGCCACTTTCATATAGTTTAAATCTCTTTCTTTTCTTTTTGATTTCGCGCAAAAGCTTTTTTTTTTTTTTGCTGCAATGGCGGCATCTTCGACCATTTCATGTTCTGATTTGAACCCTAACTCTACAGAGAGAAAGCACAATTCGCCATTAGAACGAAGTCCCCGAATGCTAAAAGATTTCCTCCACGATGATTCCAACTCATGTTACTCAAATGGGTTCAAATCATTTCCTAGAAAATCTTCCCAGAATTACAGCATTTCCCGAGAAAATCCAAACTATGGACAAAGACTTCAAAGAAGCCGATCAAGAGCTGCCTCCGCAACTATCTCAGCATTCCAGGCAATGATCAACGCCATTAAAAGCATCCATTTATCTTCATCGGTTAAATCTCCTTCCATCTTACTGCCCAGAAGCCTTTCACGTAGACTGTCGAGAAGGAACTCACAACCACAGCTCAACGTCGAAAACAAAATCACCGTGACAGTCAAAGACATCATACGCCGGAAATCATTCCGTGATTTAGTAGGAAAAATCTCGTCCCTCTGATTTTTTCTTCTTCTTCTTCTTCTTCCTCTCATCATTCCACCACCGCCACCAGCACCCCCACCACAACGACGGGATCCAACACTCCTTGTAGCAGCAGCAATGGCTCAAGCTGGTGCGACAACGATTTCACCTCGGAATATTCACCGTCCGACGAATACGGTGAAAACGAAGTTGACATCGTGGGTAAAAAGTTGTCATCGTGTGTCGGCAAGGATCCCATGAAGACGAAACAACAACAAAGACAGCAGCCAACACAGATATGGGACCCAAAGTAAGTAAAATCTTCATGTGTCTGCTGGTGAGGGTCCTTAGATGCCTTACATTTACGTTACCAGCCAGTGTTTGTGTTGTCGTTTAGTTAAATGCTGTTGACTTTTTTGTTTCATTCGTTGTTTTGTTTAATCCTTCACATTTGTCTGTTTTTGAAGACAAATATACAAAAGATAAACCATTAGAGTTTAAATTAACACTTTAAGTTGAACATGGAAGCTTCTTGATGATTGAATATTCTCCACTTTTGTGGAACTTTTTTCAGTATGCAAGTGAAGAGACAGAACAGCAGCACAGTCCAATGTCGGTGCTTGATTTCGAATATGGTGAAGAAAAGGCATGGCAGCTGGTGAATCGTGTGAAAGAAATAATTCCATCAACAAGTCATGAAAGTAATATTTGTGTAGATAAACTGCTTTTGGATCTAATTAGAGAAGAAATAGAGACAAAGTGGTATCAAAATGAAGAGCTGGAGTATTTTGAAACGGTACGAAAGCTGATAAAAGCATGGATCGATGGAGCAAATAGCGAGAGCGAGACGATAAAAAGGGAGGGTTGTGTTAGAGAATGGAAAGAGAGGGAAGGTGGAGGAATTGCAATTTTCAGGAAGAAGAAGAAGAGTTGGCAACGGGAGTTGAGGGATGGGTAATGAATATTTTGGTGGATGAACTATTAGTTGATCTCCTATGACAGAAAAAAAAGGACGCAGATGGTGTGAATCGACATGAAAGCCTGTGGAATGCCCGGAGAAACCAGTTTGCAACAACCAGGGATCGATCCTCTGCTCTTGTGGATGGTATCCAGAAATAAAGAGATGGAAATGCGGCGTCTGAGATGACAATACGTGTATCATATGGAGAGGTAAAAATGTGGTAAAATACATTGGCTTACGTCTCCCAGTAAAAGATAGTAAGAGCTTGGAGCTTCCAAAAAAAAACCCCCATAAAATAGGCAAATCTCTTGCCCTCTGTATTTGGGTACTGAACGAGAATGTTGATTATTTTTTTTAACAATTCATATTTAGACGTTGAGAAATTCTACTATTATTTAATTAATAATTTATGAGAGAAGAGACGTGTCAAAACTAAGAGCTTTTAATCACCTGTTGATAAAATGTTAAAATTTTGTAGAATAAAATAAACAATTGTAATATTGTTTCAGCAAATATATAAGGTTAATGTATATTTTGTCCATAGTTTTAACTTAATGGTTGGGATTTAAATATTAGTCCATTATTAATATAGATGTCATTATAAAGCGATAGTGGTGTTGTACGAAATTATTATTATCGAAAATAGCGTGTGAAGTGGAATCACACCTATAATAATGGATAGTGGTCACAATTTAACGGGTAACGATTAATAGCAGCTATAGTTGTATGCTATTCCCGTTATTGGTTTATACGGTAAAATTTAACAAATTTTAACAAACAATGACACAAAAATCTAAGACATGCTTAACACACAAGAACACTCAAATGCCCAAAATTATGAAACACAAGTAGCACTTCAAAGTTAAATGTGTACAAACTTAAAGCTTGAAACTCAAAATGAAGCTTCTTGCTTAACTTCCACCAGGTTTCTTCTAATCTTTGGAGTCTGTGTGCGCTCGAATTGAGTGTACTACCCAATTGGACACCTCAATTGTTGAGGTGCGTCCATGCGTACGTGTATAAGTTTGATTGTTAATTATTTTTCACTGAAAACAGGATAAATTATACGAACAGTCTCCCTTATTTTTGGTCTGACCAAATTTAGTCAACGATTTAAAAATTAAGTGAATTTGACCCCTTACGTTATTGATCCGTTTAGTTTTAGTCATTCAATTGTTATCTCCATTAAGTCTTTAACTAAAGTATTACGTGACGGTTAATTTTTTTTATAAAAAAATACTTGCTTTTCTTCTTCTTCAAAGAGAAACATCTCAAATCCCGTACTAATATATTTAAGCAAAACAACTCTTTTTTTTCCCTCATAAATCTAATCAGTTTACCCACATATCCACTAATCACAAATCATAAAAACTACTCTTCACCAACCCAAAAACTTCATTCTTGACATGC